AAAAATAAAACAGGAAAGGAAAAGATAAAGTCTACTGGGAAAAAAAAAATCAGTCCCATAATTGTGAAAAACAGATGCTAAATACCCAATATACACAGAATCAGTTCTCTTCAAGATGACCAAGCAAATGAACTAGAAAAGTATGAATATATCTACGAGAAGAGAATCTCCCCAGATGCTGTGTGTGAAAAGGATTCATAAGGTCCAGAGCAACCTGCAAAAATAAACAAACATAAAAACAAAGAGAATCAAGACTGGGCCTGAGATATGTATGGCCTGGACAGAGAGAGACAGAGAGACAGAGAGAGAGAGAGAGAGAGAGAGAGAGAGAGAGAGAGATCCTGTGAACACATCCACACAAAGGACGCACATTATCTATAATGGAAAACAATTCTCACTGGCCTCAGGCCCCAGAAGATGTGAGAGACCGTGCAGAAATGATTTAGGATGCCAGGTGTGTGTGGGGATGTGATCAAAGATTTCTCTGCCAGGTGCTGTTTGCAAGTGAAGACAACAGAGAATCAGTCTCAAATAAGCAAGAACCCAGAAGTTTAGTATTTTGTGTACCTTTGCTGAAGGTGATTCAAAGACATCGTGCCATCAAACGACAGATCAGTCAAAATTAGTCAACAGACAGCTTGAATTATGTAAACAACTGCTATTGAAAGCATAATCCGGCTCAGGAGAGAGGGAAACTTCCTAAGTACAGCCATTATAGTGAAAAACAGAATATAAATTCTTACATTTTTAGGAAGAAAAGCCTAATCAATGCGGAAGGAAAATAATGATCTGTGTGTCATAAGACTGGCCAAAAAAATCAGGATTATTCTGTCCCTGCTCCCCCAGCCCTCAGGATGGAGAATGGGTGGGGGTTTGGGGGGTGCTATATGGGGATCACTTGTTTTTTCATCTTTCATGTGAAGGAGTCAAGGTATTCATTATATTTCGGAATGGAAAAACTGTGAAATGCAGGTTTGATGGTGTGGGGTGGGGGGAGTATCGGGCTGGAAAGGGGTGTCCTTTAAATGATGCAGAGGGGGCGGCAGAGGACAACAAGGGACAGACAGCGTGAGGAAAAGACGGAATACAAAGGAAAGAGTAATAAACCATCAAATAAACAGTAAGGCAAAACATAGTAGGAAACGCATTCCGACTGAATACAAAAAAATCTCAAATTCAATTTCATGCTGTCTAGAGGGAGACAGAGTTTATGGAACCCGTCCAGGCACCCCGGGCTCCCAAATGGCTTCTGAGCCGTGTCACCAACAAAATAAGGGAAGCACAGCCCGAAAGTAAAACTGAGGAAAGGATCAGAGCGCGAGCGGCTGGTGCAAAGGGCTTCTTGGAACACGCAGCAAATGTTGTTTCTTCCCAGAACTCCAGGTGGAAATGCAGGAAAGGGGCACTGAGGACCCGGCCAGCGGTCAGTGGAGTGCATCTCAGAAAGCAAAGTCTAGGATCAGCTGTGGGCACACTAGGGACAAACCCAGGTGCACCCGAAAACCCTCAAATCTCAGGCCGGACCCATCAGAACTGTGGCTTCTACAGGAGGATTGACTGGAGCTTGCTGGAGAAGAAGTTCTAGATCTTTCCACACCTGCCCAGCGAGCCCGTGAGGTTCCCAGGGTGGCCTCAAACTCGAGGTGATCCTCCTGCCTCAGCCTCCCGAGTGCTGGGATGACAGGCCTGTGCCACCACACCTGGCAAGGAGAAATTCTTGAGAAAGGGTGAAGTGCAGACTCTTTGGACTGAAGAATACCGGGCATAGGTGAGAGTCCATGTCTATAACAAAAATGAGGAAACTGGGTAAACACATGCCTACCGTGTGAGGATTGAGGCGCCCTGGACCTGCTCGCCCTTCCCTTCCTGCTGACCCTGGCCACCCTGAGGCTGCGCTGGGTCTCGCTGGAATCCAGGGCACAGAGGGAAGCACCTGCAGTTGGCTCTGTGTACGTGGCCCCAGGGCTTGCCCTGTCCTTCAAGTGAGTGGGCTGCTAAGATAATTTGCTAATTTGCTAAATTTGCTAAAGATAATTTGAGGAGGGGGCTGTGAGCTAGCGGGAGGGAGGAGGGGAAGAAGTTTGCAAAAGCAGGAAGATGTGCTCTGTACATGCACCAGCTCCCACCTGGCCTGTGACCACCGTGATCTGCAAACAGGGACTGACCAAAATTAAAAATAAAATACTTCTAATAGGAAAAAAAAAAAAAACAATTTGAGAAGTAACTGGAGGACGTGGCACATCAAACCAAGAAAGTACACAGTATGATTGGAAACACAGCTACTGTTTAAATTTTACAGATCCTTAAAGTAAAAGATACATTGCCACCCAGATAGCAGGGTCACTCCCCTCCTGCATGGTGAGCTGGCAGCAGCCTTAATTACATTTGCAAAGGCCTTTGCTGGATAACCAGACATTCAGAGGTCTGACAGCGGAGGCCAGGGTCATAAAGATCAAACACTATCTTCTGTAGACAGAGATAGTATTGAAAGAATAATATTTTGTTAAAGAATAATATTGAAAGTCAAGGTTATTTGGGGTGTGTGTGTGTGTGTGTGTGTGTGTGTGTGTGTTGCTATTAGCAATCCTATTTTTAAAAAAGAAAAGAGGGCCGGGGATTTAGCTCAGTGGCACAAGCGCCAGCCTGGCAAACGTAAGTTTGTGAGTTTGATACCTGTACCAAAAAAAACCAGGGAAAAAGAGTAAGGAAAAAAACTCCAGAAAATCCATCGACATAACTCATAGCAATATGACAAAAAGAGAAAAAAATTCTCTTGAAAAAGTATAAGATTCAACACAAATTTTAAATTTGGAGGTTTAAATCCATGGAGCTGTATTTGTTTAGCTGTAAAGGGTAAGATTTCTGTGCATAGAAAGGTGTCCCACACAGCTCTGCATTGGCCAGGAATCGAACCCAGGCCTCCCCTGTGTGTCGGGGGGTGAGGACTCTACCACTGAGCCACCAATGCTCACCACTGCTCAGCTGTATAGAAGTCATATATCCCCCACACAACCAGTTTGTTGCACCACAATTCACAATAGCTAAGATACAGAACCAGCCTAGGAGCCCACAGCGGGTGACCGGCATAGAAAATGTGCCCTCTGTACAAGTCAGTGTAATATTCAGTCATGAAGAACAGAGTTTTGTCATTTGCAGAAAACAGATGGGTCTGGGGATCTTCCTGTTGGATGGAATCAGCCAGACTCAGAATGGCAAATGTTACATGCTCTCCTTAAAATGTGGAACTTTAAAGGATGGTAACATAGTAGGGAGAAAGACTGTTATCAGATAAGACGAAGGGAATGGGGGAGGGCCACAGGGGCGTAGGGCAGGGAATGGTGGGGTGAATATGATTAAAGTGTATTATATACACGCTGGAGCCCTCCCAGAAAAGCAAAGCTTTTGTAGACAGGTGGACGGGACCACAGAGTTGTGGGGGGTGAGGTACTAAATTATGTTGTGTGCAAACGTGCCAAAATAAAACCGCTCACTAATAAAGAAGAGGTGAAAAGCTGATGTAGTCCTCAGAGCAACAGCCAGGATGCACGGCTTGCTGCACGGCGGTCCTTCAGGTCAGCCCTGAAGGCCAGTCCAGCGTGCCTCTGCCCTGCAAGTCCCACCCAGGAGTAAAAGCGAGAGCATTAACGCAGGAAGATCAGGGACGGAAGGGCAAGAGGTGTAGATGGCCCGACGTCCACCCGAGGAACCCAGGCGGGGGAACTGTCAGAACAGGCAGAGTTCCAGAAGAAGCCTGGACCGAGATAAACTAACAGAGTCAGTGACTCCTGTTCTCCATAAAACCCCATTTAGAAAACAGAATGGATGATATTATACCGTCTCAGCAACAAGAAAAACAGATAAAATGATATCTAGAAACATACGAAAGCATTGACCATCTTGCTAACGAGGAGAGACAGGGGATTGCCAGGCCGGACCACTATGGAGGACCACAGCTGGCCGACTGAGGGCAATGCCCGACCTGATTCCCACGGTGGCTGTCCCTTGTACGTCGTAACAGTGCCGTAACGTTTGCCTGGAATGATCAGCGTATGAGGTCCTCGGGAGAGGTGACGGCAGGGGTTGTCCGCACTGCCAGTTAAAATCCAGTATATGCGACAGAGCTAATTCACAGCACAGCAGCATGCAGAAACAGACACTTGGGAGGCCAGAGGAAGCTCGGAAGGAGACCCCCGGTATTTTGAGTGTTTTGGCTACAGAGGGAAGTACAGCCCGAGTGCACAGCCTACAGCACCTGCCTGGGAGGCCCAGCCAGCACCCACAAAGCACCAGACCTGACCCACTGCCAGCCTGCCTTATTTTTGCCACTGTTTCCTAGCCAGGTCCAGGCGGAGGAGGCCACACACATTCCCCTTAGGATTCCCCAGGATACCCAGGGCCTCCTGCCAGGCGGCCCAGCCAGGGGCTCCTGTCTCACCAGGGAGCTTCGGGCTCCTCCGCCTGGCCTTCGATTTTGCCTCAGCTTTAGTCCAGGCTGGTGACGTACGCAAGCTTGAACTCTGTGGCCTTGGCCCAGGCTGGGCTTCACTTGAGTCTGCAGTACTTACCTCGCGGTTGTGGTTGCCGTGGAGTTCAAAGCAGTAATCAGCACTGCTCTAACCCTTTGCAAGTGTGTGTGTGTGTGTGTGTGTGTGTGTGTGTGTGTGTGTGTGACACTGTAAATGCCACCTGCCTCAATGATTTAAGTGCAAAAGCACTAAACTGCTACAATAGAAGAAAATAATAGCTGATTTGCACAACAATCCTGCAAGGAAGGAAGACCTGGGGGCATTGCTTGCCATTTTAAGGATGAGGGAATTAGGTTCCAGCCCAGAGCACGGCTTCTAGATGCAGGGCAGATGGGGTTGGTGGGTGGGAACACTCCACTTCGGGACCCTCTGAAAGGCTCCCCTGAAATGACAGCTGTCCAGTGTGCCATCAGCCGCATGCTTTGCGGGAGGGTGCCCCGGGTGGGCAGGGTGGGCCCCGGCGGGGCGGCTCACCTGTTGGGGCTGTAGCCCATGCTGGCCAGCATTTGGGCCTGGTCCAGGTCTCGAGGGAAGCCGTGCAGCACCCAGCCTCTCTGCAGGCAGTCCGGCTGGCTGAGGCGCTGCTTCAGCACCTTCATGACGATGTTGTCAGGGACTGTGAGGAGAGGGGGCCATGTGAGTGCTCCGCTGCCCTCGGTGTCCTTCCCCTCCTGGAGCACAGACCCGGCCCGGGACGATGGGTTTGTAGGAAGCCACTGGGGCTACCAGGCCGAGGCTGTGGATCCCTGCGTCCATGTGAGGGAAACCCAGGTGCTGAAGGTGGGAAACGCATGGGTGCCCTTCATCTTGACCTTGAGGAGATGCCTCCCTGGCGGGAGGGTAGTTCCCAGTGACACAAGTTCAACCCTCCACCATGCAGTCCCTTCTGACAGCTGTAACCCAAAAACCATAGACATGGGTCCCCTGGGGCACAGCAAGAGGGCTCTCTGGATCTCTGCACTGGTCCTGTCCCCCACGACTCACCCCAATCCACCCTCAAGACCCCATTTGAGGAGTTGGGGGGTCCCCTCATATCCCTATCCCCACGGTCCTCAAGGATGCAGTTTCCACAGACGCACAGGATGCCTCACTGGAAGTTTTAGGGTTCCTCCGATGAGATCACGTTGGTGCCCACCACCAATAGCTTTTTGCTATTTTGGACCCACCTGGCCCTCCACAGCCCCCCAGTCTCCTTGATCTCTAGAACTGAGTCTCTCTTAGACTCACAGGCCCGCTTAGAACCGGAGACTGACGTCAGGCAGAGGAGAGACTGGGAAGCCTTCTGTTTACACTGCTGCAACTGACATTTCCCTGGAACACCCACCTTCCTCCTGGGCTCATTAAGTGTCCTATGTTGCGAATGTACTGCGTTTCGGCAATTTGCACTCATTTTCCCAGGAACACTTGGTAAATATTACCGCTGTTCGCTGCGGGGCCGGGGGGTGCAGAGCTGCAGCGAGCGGCAGTTTCTCTGGAAGCTTCTGCACCACTCTCTTCCCCCTGACCACTGTGGGTCTCTCCGGTGGCCCCCCACCATCCTCCAGGTTGACAGCCAGGGGTCACTGAGGGTAAGATTCGCAAAAACTCACTCCCAGCTACTCCCCAGGGCCATGAGGTCCGGGGCACTGCCCTGGTTTCCAAAGAACTCCAAAGCGCTTATTCTAGGTGCTTTGCATCCCCGTGAACTTCTCAGTCCCCCCCTCGCACCCCAGCCCCAAGAAAGCGCAGGAAAGGGGCTCTGCTGTGACAAGATGGAAGGAAGGGTTGTCAGGGCTGGTGCCATCTCTCCCCCTGCTTAGCCCCTGTGGCAGCACCCAGGGCTTCCAGGATAAAGAGCAGTCTGTCCAGTGGGGCTGGCCAGGGCCTTCCTTCCAGGTGGCCTTGTGCGCCTGGCCAAGCATTGGGACCCGCCTCCAGGCACCTGGGAAGGCTCCCTCCCTGGAAGTCTCTGAGGCCGCACCTTATTTCCTGTCCTCTCCCGCTGGGCACCAATATCCTGGGTGTTCCTTTGGTCCTCGCCTGGCTCTAACCAAGATGGTGGTTTCCGTGAGGACAAAGGGCCAGGTCTACTCGGTTTTCACAGTGCCTGGCACAGGTGGAGTACACGGACAGGAATCTTTTCTTTTCAAGGAACCAAACACGTTAAAATCGGTTCTCTGTGTGCCGTGGTAGGGAGGGAAGGCCTGGCCCTGGGGCTGTGCCCCAGTAAGCTCACCTCAGCTCTACTGCACCCGGCAGACAGATCCTGCCTCCTGGCAAGTTGGGGCCTTAGTGGACAAGACAGACCACCGAGGGACTTAGAAAGCTCGCCTAGACCTTTGGGTGACAGCTCATCCCTTCCAGGGTAGTAAACCCAGAGTGGCCCCCCGCACCCGAAGGGTAACTGTCTACACTCCAGGGCAGAGGCCGAGGTGGGGGCCAGCCACACCAGCCCTCTCCCTGAGGGCTGAGCCCCAAGACTCCCAAAGCCGGGGCTCCTCTCCTGAGCCACACACCCCTCATGCTTGGGGTCCATTTGGCTTTTTCCACCTGGCCCTGTGAGACGCTGGGCTGTCGAGTGTTCTCTGATCCAGAAACCCATGTTTTCTGTCAAGACAAACAAAGCCGTCACAGATGCAGTAGGGTCAGAAGCTACCAGAGGATTTTGCAGTCTAGGTCTGCCCTAGAGAACACTAAGGAATCACCTCCCTAGTGGGCAGTGCCAGATGGGGCCATGCCCGGCCAGTATTTGACACTAGGGGCCCGGGACACTGCCCCGAGCGCGCATCCTTGTGGGAAGGACAGACGGCATTCAGATAAACAAAGCATAGAGCCAGAGGGTTGCGCATGCCAGGGAGCAAGAAACCACACAGTGCTGATGCTGGCTCGGCTGAGCCTCGAGGAGGTCATGGTGGACCTTCCAGCTGAGACTTTTGAGCCTGTGACCTCATTTCTAAGAATGTGCACCTACAGGACCAGGGCACAGGTGGGCAAAAATGTCAAAGGGCCACTCCTGGAACTGAGGTAGACTTCATGAGGTGGAGCACGGCTTGAAGCAAGGATGGACCCCGTGCTGAGGAGACCCAAGTAGGCTTTAAAAAGTTCCAGGAAGGGTCAGCGACAGAACGGGGACACAGGTAACACAGGAAGTGTAACAGGCCTTCCTTAAATAGATCCAGGGGGAGGCCGCCACTGGGGCCCACGCATCCGCTCTGATCCCTCTGCTTATGAAGTGCAGGGTCCATGGCAGGGAGGGCACAGGACACGACTCCACCCTCGCTGGAAGGTGTAAGGGCGCAGCAGGGCTGGCGGCTTCAGAGGAGGGCAGACGGGAAAGCAAGTGACAACCCTGGCTGGTTCCACTCTGACCCAAACCCAAGCAAGCCGCTGTCTTCAGGGAGCAGGGGTGCAGACTCTCGGCGCTTCTTGGAAGGACTTGTCACCTCCTGTCAGTCACTGTGGCCGTGGTATTTATTTAATGCCTGTCTTCCTGCCCCCACCTGTGATGGTGGAGATTTTTACAACATTAGGCTTGTTGCTAAACTTCAGTACCATTAACATTGAATGAACGGATGGATGGATGGATGGATGGATGGATGGATGGATGGATGGGTGGGTGGATGGGAGGATGGAAGGATGGATGGATGGAAGGATGGACGGATGGGTGGGTGGATGGATGGATGGGAGGATGGAAGGATGGGTGGGTGAATGGATGGATAGGAGGATGGAAGGATGGATGGATGGGAGGATGGAAGGATGGAAGGATGAGTGGGTGGATGGATAGAAGGATGGGTGGATGGATGGATGGGAGGATGGATGGATGGAAGGATGGATGGATGGGAGGATGGAAGGATGGGTGGATGGAAGGATGGGAGGATGGAAGGATGAGTGGGTGGATGGATGGATGGGAGGACGGAAGGATGGATGGATGGAAGGATGGATGGATGGATGGATGGGAGGATGGATGTAAGAATGGGTGGGTGGATGATGGACTAATGGTGCCATTTCCAAAACCCAGAAGGCTCACTGGCTCCTCCAAGACTCAGGGGCCAGAGAACTACGGAGCTTTCCTCACCAAGCACGGAACTGGGTCCTGAGGGATGGAAACCAGACCCTTCCCTGCGGGGGTAGTGAAAAAGGAGCCCAGGGAAGCCCAGAGAATCCATTCTGGCAGCTGGGATTGGGGGCAGGGGTGCAGTTGGGTTATGGTTTCAAGGGCAGCTGGGCAACCACAGGACCCGTTTTCACCCATTCCCTCTGCCCTGATCACCCAGCAAGAAGCTCAGCACGAAGGCAGTTTCTCTGTACAGAGCTTCCTGCTGACCTTCCTGCTGCCCGTCCTGCTGCAGGGTTGACGTCCCCTTGATAATGTGTCTATTTACCCTTTATCCTGCTCCCGGAGCCGCTTTGCAGCGCCCTGCTAAAGCCTTTCACCATTAAGTCAGATGCCTCGGGCTTGAATTCTGGACCTGACAGTTAATATTTTCCCCTTCAGACCAGCGGCTGCCAAGGGTTACCTCTCTGGAATGCCACATCAGCCCTGAACCCAGCCAAGTGCAAGATGTGAGTGTCCCATGCCTTCACGAGGTCACAACACAATGATTTTGTCTTTTTTTTTTCCTGCTCAAGGTCTCCCATGAAAGATGACAGTCTTCAAATGACCTTGAGATTATTAAAATCTCAGTGTGCTGGTTCCCTGCCAAGCTCTGAGCGCTCTGTATGGGACCAGTGGAGCCAGGGTCACAACATGTGTGGCCCCAGGCTCCCAGCCCCAATGCACCCAGGCCCCTACGGACCTTCCTGCCTCCAAGGCCCAGGCCTCACACCAGGCTCCTTCCTGCACAGCCATACTTCAGCCTCCGTCAGGACAAAGCACCAGCCAGACGAGGCCGCCCAGGTGGACAGACCGGCTGATCCCTCCCGGGCAGGCGGCTAGTCTGCCCAGGTAGGACAGTGGAGCGGAGGGTGGGAGCCAGGGCTGTGCAGACCACCTGGGTTGCTGGAGGATTTGCGCCCGGCTGCCACCTGCTGTCCACACTGCTGCGCAGGCCCTGGGGACCGAGGCATCCTGCTCATTCTTTAGAGTCCCTGGTCTGGGGCCAGGCTGGGATGGACTTGAGGGTGGGAGGCCCTAAGGTTGCTGGGGGTGACTCAGAAAGGGAGGACAGGGGCTGGGGATTTAGCTCAGCGGCATAAGCGCCTGCCTTGAAAGCAGGCAGTCGTGAGTTCGATCCCTGGTACCGATAAAAATGAAAAAGACCAAAAAAAAAAAAAAAAAAAAAAAAAGAAAGGGAGGACAGTGCAGAGATCACATCACATGTGGAGGTGACTGACTGTAACCTTCCTTGAAGCCTGGGGTGAATCGGGAGGTATAGGGGGACAGAGCTGCCCGCCGCCTATGCTACGCCCCCTACACCTGTCTGCTCACATCTTACACACACATACACACACACACACACACACACACACACACACACACCACACCTCACGTGCCAGGCACAGCCTCCCAGTCCCGACACGCACTCGAGCCCACACACAGCACGCCTAGGACTACACCCTCCCACCACGATGCCACACACAGACTCCTCATCAGGCCCAAGGTGGTGCCAGGCCTGTGGAAGCTGCTGGAACCAGCCC